GTGATTGTGTTTGTGATTGTCGGGTAGAGGTGATTGCGGTTGTTATTGTCGGATAGAGGTGATTGTTGTTGTGATTGTCGGGTAGATGTGATTGTGGTTGTGTTTCTCGGGGAGAGATGATTGTGGTTGTGTTTGTCGGGCAGAGATGATTGTGGTTGTCGGGTAGAGATTATTGTGGGTTGTGATTGTCGGGTAGAGGTGATTGTGGTTGTGCATTGTGCGTGTGCCAATGGCTAACTGCTTGAGTAGAACAGACTCTGAAAGATAAGTTCTATCAAAACTGGAGATCTGACGTCGAGAGAAGCCCGAAAGGGTCTTATTATAAACACTTAAAATATATTCCTTCATTTGATAACTATCTCCTTCTGCCTAAACAAATGTGATGGTGATTCTCAGGGAGAGATGTTTGTGGTTGTGTTTGTCGGCTAGAAGTGGTTGTGATTGTCGAGTAGAGATGATTGTGATTGTGATTGTCGGGTAGAGGTGGTTGTGATTGTCGAGTAGAGATGATTGTGATTGTGTTTGTCGGGTAGAAGTGGTTGTGATTGTCGGGTAGAAGTGATTGTCGAGTAGAGGTGATTGTGATTGTGATTGTCGGGTAGAAGTGGTTGTGATTATCGGGTAGAAGTGATTGTGGTTGTGATTGATAACTATCTCCTTTTGCCTAAACCAATATCCTCGCCTGAAATACACAACTTGTAGCCACAATCTGCCCGTCGAGGTTGGCCGTTGGCTTGCCATAGAGAGAGAATTTAGGACATGTAAACTGTGTATGTCACCAGCTATAGCCGATGAATTCCACTACCTGTTTAAATGTGAAGCTTTTGTATACAAATGTATCCCGAATAAATATACTAAGTCAAAAAAGAAACTTCACATTCTTTCTTCAGGGCACTATAAAAGAACAAGAGATGGTAAGATGGCTAAATTGTTATTATTTCATTGCTGAGATCTGTGTGATGTACTCGATACACTGACAGTGCCATAATCAGTTCCATTAGGCTACACCGCCGTTCCAAAACATGGGCATACAGAATGTCAAGTCACAAGAATAAAAATGCGAAATTTCTCAGTTTAGTATCGTGTATGGCCGCCCCGCGCGTTCACCACTGCCAAACACCGTCTCCTCATCGACTGCCTGATGCTTGTGAACACGTGGTTGGGGATTCTGCGCCATTGCTCTTGCGAGGCAGCGCCAGGTTCCTGCAAATTCTGAGGTTGGTTCCTAAGACCACGAAGCCTTCTCCCAAGTGCATCCCAAACGTGCTCTATTGGATTAAGGTCAGGGGACCTCGATGGCCAGTCCATGACGTTGATTCCAGCGTTTTGAAGGACATTTCGTGTCAACATCGCGGTATGCGGCCGAGCATTATCATGCTGGAACTGTAGACCTGGGCCATGAGCCGCCATGAAAGGAACGAGTTCAGGGGTGAGTACCTGGTCGTGGTAAGCAGCAGCTGTGAGGTTTCCACGGATGACCAGAAGTCGGGAACGGTTGTTCCCACAGAAAGCACCCCACACCATGCAACTTCCGCCCCCGAATCTGTCGACTTCCTGTACACAACATTGGGAATACCGTTCACGACGTCGTCTCCAGACTCTATGCCTGCCGTCCGCGAATCTGAGGGTAAACCTGGATTCATCGCTAAAGACGACTCGATTCCAGTCTCTCTGGGTCCATTGGAGGTGACGTTGGGGCCACAGCAGACGTTGACGTTGATGAAACGGCGTCAATATTGCCCACGATATGGACGTCGAGAATGGAGATTGGCAGCCCGCAACCGATTTCGAATGGTCTGTGAGGACAGTCGACCTCTAAACATCTCAGCCCTGGTTCGTGTAGCCGGCAGAAATCTGTCACGTAGGTGACGTAGGACGATTTGACGGTCTTCTGCTCGTGACGTCACACGTGGACGACCCGACCTTGGGCAATCAGAAGTGGTGCCAGTTTGTTGTAGACGACCTCGCAAGTCATACACAGTACGACGGCTGCATCCCATTGCTCTTGCGACGTCAATAACTGATCTTCCCGCTTGCAACATGCCAACGGCACGTTCACGTTGAACATTTGACAATCGTGGCATTTCAAGTACCGTTAGAACTGTGTTTTAAAAGTGTTTTTTCAATTCTTGAGGCCAATGCAAACACGTGCATACGAAGAAAACTTCGATGCGAAGATCACGTGATCGACTGCACGTGCAAAACCTGATTTGGCACTAACGTCATTTGCACGACGAATGGATGGGTTTGAGTGGGTTTTGCTAACGTTTTTCTAGAGTCGAAAGATAGGGATCCCATTTCGGATATATAGATGTATCATCAGAGAAACATTATTCATTATTTTTCAAATTACATTTTAGGAAGTTTCTTTTTTGACTCAGTATACATACATTTCCCTAAAATAATAACGTACAAAAATTGTTGAGTAGTAACAATGTAAAAGAAATCAAGAAAGTTGCTCAATTCATTTGTATAATAGAAAAATGTGCCTTCGAGTGTGATTGTATACATGTGTGCCGAATTTTGAATTCTAAAGCGGATTTTATATTTTAATATTCACAATTGGTTTCAGTCACAATGTCTTAATGTCGCCAATTATCTGTACAATATAACCGTCATCTTAGAGACAGCGGTCAAAGTTCGAATAAGGTTCTACTAACGTGACCTTCTGTTGAGGTGTCAGTTCTTGTGGAATTACCGTATAGTTGTATAAGATCTGATTTTGATGAAATTTTGTCGGGTAGTGAAGACAGCAACCACCTGTATAAAATACAGTATGGTGTTTGGTGACACGAAGACATCAATCCACCATCTTTGTTGAAGACACCACGTTGGCTGGTTGTACAAAGACGGCCACGATATTTTATTTAACGCGTGTGGGATCTGAATATAGGTTACAGTACAAAACACGAAGCGAATTGATACATCACTGAAACAAGACCTAAACCACAAAAAGCTTCTAATAGGTTTGACAGCAACAACTTCGATTTCTTATTCCCCTGACCCGTCTTTATACTGATATAGATCTGTTACGTCAGATAGTTAACATAACATTCTTCCTTCCCACCTGAATAATTTCGAGTTGAGATTAGAATATTTACTGATGCAGTCTTATCGATTAGGTGATTATTCAGCATGACAGCCATCTTGAAGAACATAGATCGATAGTTATATAGTTATTGGTATTTACATGTCACAAGACTGTTACCTACATATAGTTCATGCTAATATGGAATACATGGGCTTCTAAACGTTCCACTTGAAATAAATATATTTGTGATATATGTGATGCTGTTCGTATTGGCCTGGCCTCTGGTTCGACGCAATACATAGGTGTTTTGTTTATAGATTCCATTACTTTAGGCTGACGTCAATGAAGCTGGGGAACAAAGAGGTCCAGAATAGTACGTCATAGAACCGTATAGATCAGTAGGCATTATTACTGACGCTGTTTGGTTTACATTGGAAACTGAAGCTGTTGATGAAGTTGACGTTATGTGTTCTAACAAACAGTAGGTGAACGTTTTGCTTTAACGCTGCTGTTTCAGTAGCAATATGGGGTTGGAGGAAGTCCCAGAGAGACGTCGGTGAAAGCCAGGACCATGGAACTGATACTGACAAAGTAAGGATCATAACTGAAGCGGGATTCGAACACAGGGCACACAGTTGGAACAAAAGACCAGCAGATGTATAGCGTTTCCCAGTATCCTGTATGGTGGTTCCCAGTATCTCGTATGGTGGTTCCCAGTATCCGGTATGGTGGTTCCCAGTATCCTGTATGGTGGTTCCCTGTATCCTGTATGGTGATTCCCAGTATCCTGTATGGTGGTTCCCTGTATCCTGTATGGTGATTCCCAGTATCCTGTATGGTGGTTCCCTGTATCCTGTATGGTGATTCCCAGTATCCGGTATGGTGGTTCCCTGTATCCTGTATGGTGGTTCCCGGTATCCTTTATGGTGGTTCCTAGTATCCTGTATGGTGGTTCCCAGTATCCTGTATGGTGGTTCCCAGTATTCTGTATGGTGGTTCCCAGTATCCTGTATGGTGGTTCCCTGTATCCTGTATGGTGGTTCCCAGTATCCTGTATGGTGGTTCCCAGTATCCTGTATGGTGGTTCCCAGTATCCTGTATGGTGGTTCCCAGTATCCGGTATGGTGGTTCCCAGTATCCTGTATGGTGGTTCCCAGTATCCTGTATGGTGGTTCCCAGTATCCGGTATGGTGGTTCCCAGTATCCGGTATGGTGGTTCCCAGTATCCAGTATCCTGTATGGTGGTTCCCAGTATCCGGTATGGTGGTTCCCAGTATCCGGTATGGTGGTTCCCTGTATCCTGTATGGTGGTTCCCAGTATCCTGCATGGTGGTTCCCAGTATCCTGTATGGTGGTTCCCAGTATCCTGTATGGTGGTTCCCTGTATCCTGTATGGTGGTTCCCAGTATCCTGTATGGTGGTTCCCAGTATCCTGTATGGTGGTTCCCAGTATCCTGTATGGTGGTTACAGGTGGTTCCCAGTATCCTGTATGGTGGTTCCCAGTATCCGGTATGGTGGTTCCCTGTATCCTGTATGGTGGTTCCCAGTATCCTGTATGGTGGTTCCCAGTATCCGGTATGGTGGTTCCCAGTATCCTGTATGGTGGTTCCCTGTATCCTGTATGGTGATTCCCAGTATCCTGTATGGTGATTCCCAGTATCCTGTATGGTGGTTCCCTGTATCCTGTATCGTGGTTCCCAGTATCCTTTATGGTGGTTCCCAGTATCCTGTATGGTGGTTCCTAGTATCCTGTATGGTGGTTCCCAGTATCCTTTATGGTGGTTCCCAGTAACCTACACTATGGTGGTTCCCAGTATCCTGTATGGTGGTTCCCAGTATCCTACACTATGGTGGTTCCCAGTATCCTGTATGGTGGTTCCCAGTATCCTACACTATGGTGGTTCCCAGTATCCTGTATGGTGGTTCCCAGTATCCTACACTATGGTGGTTCCCAGTATCCTGTATAGTGGTTCCCAGTATCCTGTATGGTGGTTCCCAGTATCCTGTATGGTGGTTCCCAGTATCCTACACTATGGTGGTTCCCAATATCCTGTATGGTGGTTGGTTCCTGTATGGTGGTTCAGTATCCTACACTATGGTGGTTCCCAGTATCCTGTATGGTGGTTCCCAGTATCCTACACTATGGTGGTTCCCAGTATCCTGTATGGTGGTTCCCAGTATCCTGTATGGTGGTTCCATGTAACCTACACTATGGTGGTTCCCAGTATCCTGTATGGTGGTTCCCAGTATCCTTTATGGTGGTTCCCAGTAACCTACACTATGGTGGTTCCCAGTATCCTGTATGGTGGCTGCCAGTATGCTACACTATAGTCGTTCCCAGTATCCTGTATGGTGGTTCCCAGTATCCTGTATGGTGGCTCCCAGTATCCTAGAACTATGGTGGTTCCCAGTATCCTGTATGGTGGTTCCCAGTCTCCTACTCTATGGTGGTTCCCAATATCCTGTATGGTGGTTCCCAGTATCCTGTATGGTGGTTCCCAGTATCCTACACTATGGTGGTTCCCAGTATCCTGTATGGTGGTTCCCAATATCTCGGATGGTGGTTCCTAGTATCCTGTATTGTGGTTCCCAGTATCCCGTATGGTGGTTCCTAGTATCCTGTATTGTGGTTCCCGGTCTCCTGTATGGTGGTTCCTAGTATCCTGTATTGTGGTTCCCGGCATCCTGTATGGTGGTTCCCTGTATCCTGTATTGTGGTTCCAGGTATCCTGTATTGTGGTTCCCTGTATCCTGTATTGTGGTTCCCGGTATCCTGTATTGTGGTTCCCGGTATGTTGTATGGTGGTTCCTAGAATCCTGTATGGTGGTTCCCAGTATCTCGTATGGTGGTTCCTAGTATCCTGTATTGTGGTTCCCGGTATCCTGTTTTGTGGTTCCTAGTATCCTGTATGGTGGTTCCTAGTATCCTGTTTGGTGGTTCCCGGTATCCTGTATTGTGGTTCCTAGTATCCTGTATGGTGGTTCCTAGTATCCTGTTTGGTGGTTCCCGGTATCCTGTATTGCGGTTCCCAGTATCCTGTATGGTGGTTCCTAGTATCCTGTATGGTGGTTCCCAGTATCCTTTATGGTGGTTCCCAGTAACCTACACTATGGTGGTTCCCAGTATCCTGTATGGTGGCTGCCAGTATCCTGTATGGTGGTTCCCAGTATCCTGTATGGTGGTTCCCAGTATCCTACACTATGGTGGTTCCCAGTATCCTGTATGGTGGTTCCCAGTATTCTGTATGGTGGTTCCCAGTATCCTACACTACTGTGGTTCCCAGTATCCTGTATGGTGGTTCCCAGTATCCTACACTATGGTGGTTCCCAGTATCCTGTATGGTGGTTCCCTGTATCCTGTATGGTGGTTCCCAGTATCCTGTATGGTGGTTCCCAGTATCCTACACTATGGTGGTTCCCAATATCCTGTATGGTGGTTCCCAGTATCCTGTATGGTGGTTCCCAGTATCCTACACTATGGTGGTTCCCAGTATCCTGTATGGTGGTTCCCAGTATCCTACACTATGGTGGTTCCCAGTATCCTGTATGGTGGTTCCCAGTATCCTGTATGGTGGTTCCCAGTAACCTACACTATGGTGGTTCCCAGTATCCTGTATGGTGGTTCCCAGTATCCTTTATGGTGGTTCCCAGTAACCTACACTATGGTGGTTCCCAGTATCCTGTATGGTGGCTGCCAGTATGCTACACTATAGTCGTTCCCAGTATCCTGTATGGTGGTTCCCAGTATCCTGTATGGTGGCTCCCAGTATCCTAGAACTATGGTGGTTCCCAGTATCCTGTATGGTGGTTCCTAGTCTCCTACTCTATGGTGGTTCCCAATATCCTGTATGGTGGCTCCCAGTATCCTGTATGGTGGTTCCCAGTATCCTACACTATGGTGGTTCCCAGTATCCTGTATGGTGGTTCCCAATATCTCGTATGGTGGTTCCTAGTATCCTGTATTGTGGTTCCCAGTATCCCGTATGGTGGTTCCTAGTATCCTGTATTGTGGTTCCCGGCATCCTGTATGGTGGTTCCCTGTATCCTGTATTGTGGTTCCAGGTATCCTGTATTGTGGTTCCCTGTATCCTGTATTGTGGTTCCCGGTATCCTGTATTGTGGTTCCCGGTATGTTGTATGGTGGTTCCTAGAATCCTGTATGGTGGTTCCCAGTATCTCGTATGGTGGTTCCTAGTATCCTGTATTGTGGTTCCCGGTATCCTGTATTGTGGTTCCTAGTATCCTGTATGGTGGTTCCTAGTATCCTGCTTGGTGGTTCCCAGTATCCTGTATTGTGGTTCCTAGTATCCTGTATGGTGGTTCCTAGTATCCTGTTTGGTGGTTCCCGGTATCCTGTATTGCGGTTCCTAGTATCCTGTATGGTGGTTCCCAGTATCCTGTATGGTGGTTCCTAGTATCCTGCATTGTGGTTCCCGGTATCCGGTATGGTGGTTCCCGGTTTCCTGTATTGTGGTTCCCGGTATCCTGTATTGTGGTTCCCGGTATCCTGTATGGTGGTTCCCAGTATCTCGTATGGTGGTTCCTAGTATCCTGTATTGTGGTTCCCGGTATCCCGTAATGTGGTTCCTAGTATCCTGTATGGTGGTTCCCGGTATCCTGTATGGTGGTTCCCAGTATCTCGTATGGTGGTTCCCAGTATCCTGTATGGTGGTTCCCGGTATCCTGTATTGTGGTTCCTAGTATCCTGTATTGTGGTTCCCGGTATCCTGTATTGTGGTTCCCGGTATCCTGTATTGTGGTTCCCTGTTTCCTGTATGGTGGTTCCCAATATCCTGTATGGTGGTTCCCGGTATGTTGTATGGTGATTCCTGGTATCCTGTATGGTGGTTCCCAGTATCATGTATTATTGTTCCCTGAATCCTGTATGGTGGTTCCCGACATCCCGTATGGTGGTTCCGAGTATCATATATTATGGTTCCCTGTATCCTGCTATGTTGGTAAGACCACGACCCCAACAACTACAGCCTAAACATTCCAGACCACACAAACTGACGAAAACGCTGAAAGGGCCGGTAATCAGCGTAACAAAACCGCCACCCCGGTTTAGTAAGAGTAGTCTCCCCTTTTTGTTCTTGTAGCAGACAACCAGGCCAGTCATGATCATGGCGCAAAGGTAAATTGTCACAGCACAAACAAACGAATTAAAGGGAACAAACATTTGAAACTGGGTGATTTTCAATTATGGATGGTAGGTATATCTGTTTCACATCACATCCCATGGTGCCTTTAGCGGTTACGTTTCATATGAAAACATCAATTTTTCATTGAACAGTAACTCGATATTTTATTTCTATATTAATTGACAATACACCCTGGGCCGTAGTTAACGGGGCTCACAGGTGTAGCATTTGATCTAACAACTAGTGCATTGTAAATACCCTTGGCACGACAAAATATCAATATTGTCATCGATACAACAGCAACCTTCGTTGTAATTCTGTTTCAGATATTAATCAGTGGTGCGTCTATAACAGCATATCAATCTTCTCAAGCTGTGAAACACATCGGGACAACCTTTTCGGATGCTTTGAGTGAGGCTACTATTGCAAAACTACAGTGTCGGGCAAAAGAAAGTATTCACTTAAATATTGGATTTGACCATTACACAGCAAACCTGCCCTGCACGTTACGAGGCTGAAAACACTACAACCTGTATCAAGTATATCAGCATAGCAGAACCACTACTTGCTTAATGTATCGTTAACCACCATCAAGCATGTTTGTATGCCTTCCTTCGACCAGCGGTGTATTTCAATAGTTTTTGACGACTGTACTAATTATTGCATTATAATTTCGCTATTATGATGACAATCTCCAGGGCCCTGGGTCCCGTTCCTCAAAGCGATCGTAGCGCTAAGGTGATCGTAACTCCCATACTTTAACATAGACTTACGACAGTCGTAGCTCTACGATCGCTTTGAGGAACGGGGCGTAAGTCTATGTTAAAGTATGGGAGTTACGATCAGCTTTGCGCTACGATCGCTTTGAGGAACGGGGCTCAGGACAGTTCAGTAGCTGTATCGGGACTGAACACTAATACACTAATTACAATCCCGACTCCCTTTGCCCATTCTAAGAAAGAGGATCGAGTTAGTCTAAGGGCTCATACACTTGATACAATATGAACATTACTTATGCATTTAGGGACATCTACTTCTCAACATATAACATCAATAATTTGATTCGGGCATGTCAACATATATCTTAAGTAAACTGCTTGTATAGTGTCTATGGCAACCGCGGTTGCTGGCCACATGAAACCGTGCTTAGCGTCCACATTTACAAAACGACTTGACAACTTCAGATCCAATCAGGACGCAATACAAGATAATGAACTAGCTATAGCTACTACGACAGATATTTCTGTCACATAGTGTTCTGTAAATTTTGGAGAGGAGTGGAGTACTGTCTTAGTACAATTAAGCTGAACCCTTTAAATCTCTTAAAAGCTTTATAATAGGTCGTACCAGATTGAATGTATGCATACGTTTTAGGTGAAAAAAACAATACCATCGACATCTTCATGGCTATCTCAATATACAGCAAGTTGACGAACAGAAGAAACAGTTGGTTATATCGTAACAAGCGTGTTCGTGACGAACAGTTTATTGTAACAGATGGTTGTACCCAGGGGTATTGATAGATAGTAAGGGATGGTTAAGAAAACGAAATGACCAGATGCGGAACATGCTGGCGGTGAAAGACCGAGGAAGCTAAATAAGGTGAACGTTTGGGGTAGTCTGATCAGTAATAGGACCCACGCTTAGGACAATATTCGTTTATGGGGAGATGCTTTGGTTTGGTTTGCTTGTTGTTTAACGCCGCACGCAGCAATATTGTGATCAACAGCATGAGCATCGTTCTACGCAATTTTGACACGATGACATGTGTCAACCAAGTCATCGAGCCTGACCACCCGACCCCGTTAGTCGTCTGTTACGACAAGCATTCGTTTGCTGAAGATTATTTCTGACCTATGGCCTATGGTGAGCTGCAGGTTCTGAATCATTATCCTCATGACAATATGATTGAGTCTGGTCCACTCCTCTTGCAGCACCTTCCCTCCCTACCAGGTGAAGGAAGGGTCTGCACTCATGCCTTCTGATCAGGTTTTGCTGGAGGAGGTACTCAGATACGATGCGTGTTCGGTGGGCACGAGAATTATAGCGTGGACAGGCAAAGCGTTGTTGGCACTAATATTTTGTAATACTATCTAGTAAGCCTTCCACAGACTACATGGAGTTGTTTCAGTTAGGGGATCCCATATAATTACCGACCGACCCTAAATCCGCCTTCTACGTTGTTCTACGTACGTTGACGTTCGCAAGGCGTTCGTCTGGATGCATCCAGAGACAACCTTACCTTACGGCGGCAGGTACCTTGATGAATGTAGCGCTCTGTCGTTTATTGTTGCTTGTTTCACAATTTCGATATATAAAGCATAATAATATTTTTATTCATATCAAAACCTATTCC